CCGTGCCGCCTTTGCCCACGGGTGGTGGCTTAGTGTGAAAGCCTTGGGCAAAGGGACAGGTTTGGTGGGAGCCCGGGAAGGCTGCCATAACCCCCGAGCTCAGTGCAGGGGGTTTCTTCTGTGCCAGCTGATCGCGGGAGGGGGAATCCTCTTCTTTGGAAACGCCACTGAGGTACAAACACCACGGGCTGGTCCTCATGTCCCAGCGAGGGGGGTGGTGGCTGGAGCTCCGTGCCCTGCACATCCCAGGGGTCAGGCAAGTCGGTCCCATGGGGACCACACGTCCTGGCTTGAGGTCTGGGAGCTTCTCGGCGCCTCGGGAGGCTGCCTCCGGCAGGGCTTTCTTTGCAGTGGATTTGCTGGCTGTATGGAATTGGGGAAGTTTAAAGTCTGAAGCTTCATTTTCCTCTGCTAGGACTATGAGATGAGCCTTCAAGCAGTTTCTGTACCCTGCATACGAGCTCACGGCTTTAGCAGGGAGCAGCAGCCTGCCAGGAAAGATGAAGAATTGTCAGCACATGGTTTGCTGGATCCTACCATGCCCTTTGTGCCATGACTGATATCTGAAAGAGGAAAACCTCCCCTTCCCTCTGAGAGAAATCTCAACCTTGCTGCTTGCGGGTGGGCAGTGGGAGGAGAAGTCAGCTGGGACGAGACAGCTGATTTCCCCATGAGGGATGGTGACACCCCATGTTCCATGTGACGCTTGTTCCAGCTTTGCCAGTCCATATGTCATTGACTCATTTTTTTCAGCTGTGTGTCATGAAAATAAGCCTCCTCTGTAACAACAGTAAGGTCAGAAGAAGTGTAAAGCCCAAGCAGTGCTGTGCATCCTGGCTCTGTCCTGTTGTGGGGTTATTCCCCAGGCTTCACACACCAGGTTTGTCCACTCACTTCAGGAATTGCCAGCACTGATGAACTGATGATCTGAATTGCCTTAAATTTTTTTAAAATTCCGGGTGCTCTGGTGCCAGCTGCCTTGGTTTCCTATCCTGTGTGTCCCAGCAGCTGCATCTAGGACCCTCTCTCCAAGCGCTAAGGAACTGGAGCATGGAGGGATATCGAGCAAGACTGTGGCACCTCTCTGCCTCTGGGTATGTAGTGTCTGCTTTAATCCCTTCCCTTCCCTCCATCTTGATAGCTGTTGAATGGCCTTTTTCCACTGAAAAGACCTCCTTTGCTAGTCAAAATTCTCCTTCAAGGGATAACTGAGGCTGCTGTTGGGTGGGGGAGACAAGGATTGCCTGGCTGGGTTTAATCCTGGGGAGAGGCTCGTTCTCGCCACCAGGTTTTCCGCTCTCTGGGGAGTCACTCCAGATGTGAAGCCTGAGAAATGATTATTCCTTCCCAAATGTTTGTTTTTATTAGACATTTAAATAGCTTTATAGGACATTTCATCCTGTCTGCAGTGGCCAAATTCTTATCCTTGGAGATTTCATCTGGTACTGGAGTTTCAGCATGAAACTGTTTTCTCTGATCAGTTCTGTATTTGTCACCCTGAGACCTGCAGATTTTTGCTTGGTCTCCTCTTAAGAGGCAGGGAGATCAGAAACTCCTGCTCAAACACCTCTTACCCATCGAACACCTTGTAATTGCAGAGCTGGTCTAACGATTTCCACAGCAGCCAGGAGCCTCCTCTTTCTCCCTTCAGCATCCTCTAAATAACCACTGAAGACACTCTTAGCCACTGGAGCTGACCCTTCCGAATGAGTTCATTATGATTTTTATAGACTAAACCAATGCTTTCCTGTGCTTGCATTAGAGGAGGAGCAGTCACATTGTACTTGGTATTTATCTTTCAAGGAATGAACTTCCCTGTCCTGCGTGCTTCCAGGGAAAATCTTGGTCCACGCTACTCAGGTTAGCAGAGAAGTAGAGAAAAGTGAGAGCAGAGGCGCTCAGAGAAGGACATTGTAGAGACCCATGAGTGATCATCTCAAGAAAGCCCCCTAATTAGCGCATTCCTGTACTTCCTTTGCTAACACCCCAGTACTTGCTCTTTCTATAGGATGAGAGCCCGTGTCTACTGTGAAGACTTTCTGCTCCCAAAGGTGTGCAGGACCACGGCAGACCTGTGGTCCGTTTACTCCAAGCCTGTCCCAGCAAACGGCAGAGAGCTGTGGGCCTTGTTTCTGCAGTGTTCCTGTGTTGCAGCGGTGATGGGAGGCCTCTTTTACAACTGGATGTTTGCTTCCCTGGAGTACTCCTGGCATCTCTCCATTGCAATGGCCGTCTCCTTCAGTCTGCTCCTTCTCCTGACCCTTTTCTTGGTGCATCCTGCCCGTTGCGTCTTCAGTATGGTCATGCCTACGTTAGGTACCAAACAAGGCCGGAAGCTTCTCTTGTCAACCTGCATCATGATAGTAGTGGTGAACATAACACCCAACATCATAAGCAACATGAAAACCATACTGCAGGTTATTAAGTGCATCTGCAAGAATTCCTCTGAGAGTCTTTTGAACTCAACTGCTCTGCTAGAGAGAGCTTCCTGGGAATTTGGGGATGCAGTCCAAGAAACCGTTCATTCCATTAATATTTATAAGCCTATGAATGGACATTTTCAGTTTTCATTGCTTAAGAACAGCTCCTTGATTTACCAACAAATGCACCTTGCTGGTGAGAAAATTGGGAGAGACTTTTTGGCTGTTGAGGTACTGGTCAAAGATTCTGTACGAGTAGGCAACAAGCTGGTTGCTGGCTTCTCCATGTTCTATCTCTGTTTTGAGTCCACCTGGTATTTGAAAAATTACCTCACCAACCTCCGCTTTGACAATTTTTACATCACCAAGAAGCTGGAACGTTTAGCTGTGGACAGAAAAGCAGCTCATCTGCTGGTGGGCTCATCCAAAAACCTCATTCGACCAACAGGCTTGAAGTTGTCCCGGGAAGAAGTGATGCTGTGCCTCGTGCAAGCCATGCTCCTCACCGTGGCCCTGATGCTGATGCTGGTGGTCGTGGCGATGGACCACTTTGCGTTCCGCGTGGCAGACACCGCGGTGAGAAAAGCAGCTCAGTTCTCCGCGGTGCCCGTCGCGCTCAGCATCAAATACCATGTAAGTGCTGGGGTCTTCTGGGAGAGAGGGGGGTCACAGGGGGACCCTGCTGTGCAGAACGTCGCAGGAGGCGGCGGTGGGGATCGCAGTCTTTGTAGCCTTATTTACACGTTCCCGATTCCCTCCCCGGCAGCCGGCTGGGTGGAGGCTTGGAGGGGAGGAGGTGGAGGCACAACCTCAGTTCCTCCTTCCAGTGCGTCAAACGGCAGCATATCCCCGCTCCAAATTACAGCTCCTTGGGAGCGAGGAGGGCAGCAAAGGGTGCCTCACGCTGCAAAGACGCTGCTAGCACGTGGCAGTCAGACGTCCCCATTACCTCCAGGTCCCTTCCTGAGGCGGGGTGGAGGAACGGGCGTCCCTGCGGCACCGTCCCCCGCCGCAGTGTGGGTGCGAGCACAAAGAGAAGGGGCACGCAGGTGAATACACGTCTTGGCCGTGAGGATGTCTCGTCTTGGTGCACTGGCCGCTCTTTAAGGAGAAAGCCTTGCTCACTGGCTTTGCTATCACCTTGTGCCATCCCTTCCGCAAACCTCCCCAGTTTCTATCCTTTTTAATATCCTTCATCTGAACTAGCTCTGGCTTAGTTTTTTAGCTTTCCTCCTCTACCATGCGGCCTGCCTCCCTCCCCGGCCCCGGGGTCCTTCGCACAGATACCTGCTTATGGTGAGTTTACAGTAAAACAATCAGGGGTTCGAAAAAAACCTCTAATACTCAAATATGCAGCCACTAATACTGCTGCCTGGATTATGCCCTTCATTGTCAATCTCGCATACCTGTTACGATCGCTGTAACAGCAGATGAAGACGGCAGACAGGACCGGGTCTCGCCGTGCCCGGTGCGCAGCGCCCGCACATCGTGCTGTCATTCTCGCTCAGCCTGGAGTCTATACGCACTCCGATGTCCTTCTCTTCATGCACCCAAACAAGCTGCAACGCTGACTACACACCCCCAGGCTGACGTTTTTGTGGTAGTCGGTTGATTTTGATTTGTTCATCCCCCATTTAACTCTTAACAATTTTTATTTCAGGCTAAAATAAGGATCCTGCCCTTTCTTTTGAAACTTCTACGGCTTCCTTATGAAGAATTACCACTTCAGAACTTTGAAAGAAGCTACCACCATTATCTGATCTTCAGCTCTGCCCACTGCAGGATCAGCCCCCCGACACCTCCCAACCCCTCTGTGCTGCTCATCGTGGGGCTCCTCTTCTGCATCCTCTACGCTACCATATTCCTGGAGACCTACGCACACCGCCTGTGCAGGAAAATCGCAGGCTCCTTCTTCGAGAGCTGGGAGGAGAAGCGGGCACTTTACCTCTACGAGAAGCTGTCCAGGAAGCACAAGGAGGAGCAAAACTGCATGAGAAACTAAGGGTACTTTTGGAAATGCAGGGTATGCCTGAGACCTGTGGCAGTGGCCGGGCAAGGGCTTCTGCAATATGGTCACTCATGTAGTTTTCCAGAGTCAGAGAAGCATTTGGAGTCTGGGCAAAAATATTTACCAAAAAAAAAAAAAAAAAAGGTGAAATGTCACATTCTGCATTAATTTGAGAAAAATGGGATAAATTTACTTTTTTTTTTTTTTTTTTAGTCTAGAAGTCTGGGGTCAGCTGTTCCAAGAATGGTGGCAGATGATAGCTCATATGGCTGGAGGATATCTGCAGCATCAGGCAAGGCTAAATGGGTAATATGTCGGAGCTGGGGTGGGGGAAGAGCTCATTTACCTCCCCCACCACATCCATGCTGGAAGAAGTACGCACTTCCTTTCTTTCCCAAGTCTTCAGGCAGCAAGAAAGGAAACTTGATTATTTTCATTTTCAGGGAGTTTTTTTCTTTCAGGTTTCATGCATAGAAACCTGAGTAAACTGGGTAAATACTAACTTTTAGAAGGTAGTTTGTTCACCGAAGAAAGTGTAATTTCAGCCCACTGAAATAAACTCAAGACTAATAAGACCATGAGATGCACATCCTGGGCATGAGTGGTGGTGGAAATCGGTACACAACATCACTTCAAATGGCTCTTCAAAATAAAATATAAATAAAAGATCTGAAGGATCTCAGAAGGGAATGACACCAGCCAATAAAGGCCCATTTGGGTGTTGGTCTCTTTTCCCAAGTTACAAGTGATAGGACGAGGGGAAATGGCCTGAAGTTGTGCCAGGGGGGATTTAGATTGGGTATTAGGAAAAATTTCTTCACTGAAGGGGTTGCCAAGCGCTGGAACAGGCTGCCCAGGGAAGTGGTGGAGTCACCATCCCTAGAGATATTTAGAAGACATGTAGATGTGGCACTTAAGGACATGGTTTAGTGGTGGACTTGGCAGTGCTAGGTTAACACTTGGACTTGATGATCTTAAAGGTCTTTTCCAACCTAAATGACTCTCTGATTCTGTGGCTCTAATTTAGGCCAACATCCTGGAGGACTTCAAAAGTGGTAGACAGAAACTTGACATTTGAGTCAGTGCTCTGCAGGCAACGGGGAAGTAGCAGGACTTGGAGGGCTGGACTTGCCTGAACCGAGAGCTCATTTTACATTTTGGGTTGTTTCAAACTCAAACTATAGTATTGAATCCAAGATGCAAAAATCCATCACTGGGGCAGCATCTGAAACATGTCCCCTTTGAAAGAGAGGCGGCTTGGATGCCTCTGTAAGGGCAAGAGCCAGAGGAGGGGGAGATAAATCAGTGCCAGGTTAAAAACAAAGCAACTTCACAGCTTCGTTTCTTCAAAGCATCTCTATTATTTTCCTCCCTTCTTCCATTAGAGTCTTCATTAAGGTAATTATTTGACATAATGCACTTCAATGAGATTAAATTACAGAAGTGAAGTGGCCGCTGCAGCCAGATGCACCGAATTCTCTCAGCTTCTGAGGTGCTTGAAACAAAGTAGGTCTGGATTATTTCTTTTTTAAGCATCTAACAAAATCCTGGTGCATTCAGCTCCCCAGGTTTCTTAATTCCCTGCTGTTCTGATGATCAATCCAGGCACCTTTCTGCCTCTATAGCAAATAGGGGGCTTTGTCATGCGGTTCCGTAGAAAATGCCCCGTGCTGTTGTGTTTGGGGAAAGCAAAAAGATTTCCATGTGCCCCCTGAGCAGTCACAGTTATCTGGAGATAAGCGTTAAAATAGCTCTGAGGAGAACAGAGGAGCACCTTCAGCCAGCAAACCATCCCAGCAGCATGTTGCCTTCCAACAAGCACATCTTTAAAAAAAAGTTTTTCCTTGGGAAGACTTATCTTTTTGGCAAGAGATGCACATTAATCTTTAAGATTTTTTTTTTTTTTTTAGTCAAACAGCATTTGCCCCTCCTGAGTAATGTCCAGTTCCTCTCCCTGCCTTCTGAGGGAGGTCTTCAGAGGAGATTGGGGCACGGGGAGAGGAGGCTGAAATGGTGAAGTGCTGGGGGCAAGCATGGGGATGGCCTTTGTTTTAGAGATGGGCCCTCCAGTTTCAGATGGGTTTGGTGTGGGTGAGATCATAGAGATGGACTAAGAGGACTAAGTACCACCCGTTGCATCCTTTGGACAGGCACTGCCCAGCTCCCAGCCAGGGCAGCTGAGCAGTGCGTGAGGCAGCTCCTGAAACAGCCCTTTTCAGCCTCAAAAATCATATTTATTAGGAAAAAACTGACCCCAGTCCAGAATAGTTCTCCCTGTCCTCTCTAGAGTTGCCTTCAGCTCCCACTAAATTTTAACCACTAAAGACTAATCCTGGGAACTCTGCACTTCTAGACTTCGGCATCAGACAAGCCTTGATTAGCGTAACTACATCTGCTTTAAAGGATACTAATCAGTGGAGGTATCGCTGCTCGGCCTCTGCCCCCAGCGTCGCAGCCTTCATAAACCCCTCACGAGGCAGAGGTGTGCTCCCGTTTCCATTTGGCAGAAGAGATGTTATGAAGTTCGTTGGCGGGCGTCACGCCAGTCTCGGCGGGTTCATTGACCATGGGCCATGGGCAGCGGAGCCTCATTGCCTGCCTGCGTCTAGGGTCAGTTCTCCTGCCCTCGCTTGGACATCTGCCGTAGGAGGCAATGGATCGTGCCCCGGGGCCACCCGTCCCCTTGGCCTCGTGACCCTCGCGCAGGGCTTTTAGCTTTAATAGCCATGTAGAAATCAGCAGGGGAAGAATTGGGGTTTGGAAGGTGAACGTCTTGCGAAGCGCTGGTGAGGAGGTGAGGGCTGGGCGGTAGCCGAAAAACTGTCTTTTGTCATGGTGATGCTGAGATTTGTTACCGGGAAAGGAGGGTGATAAACGTTGTGAAACGTTACGTTGTGCCTGTGCTGTGAAGTCTCATCTCATTCGTGTTGGAAGGATTTTTTTATTTCTAGGAGGGAAAAAGTCACTTTGATACCCATTATGGTTCGTTTAGAGGTGAAGTCGTACTGATGTTAAAAGGTGTATGTGCTGAAGGCTGGTATGGTTGAACATCACTGAATCGATGCGCAGGAAAAGGTGTTAACGCAAGACTACCGTTGCTTGAGTTGATGTCATCAAATATAGATATGTGTCGTAGTTAAGTGATGAATCTGTTTTGAGGAGAAAAGGGATGTTGAAAGCTGGCTCTTCGCCATTATGCCACTTAACCCAGAGACCAGATTTTCATGTAAGAAACCAAACCCAGGGAGCTGTGGCAGACGTGACGCTTGAGTGGGAGACTCAGGGACGAAGGGCGCTCAGCCTGCAGGACCAGGGAGGAGAACCATGGGGAAACCACCGGTATGGAGTTACACCCGAAGAGTTATGTGGCAGAGCTGAGACCCGGGGCAGCCCGCGGTGGAGCGGGGGGGCCCCGCCAGCACGGCAGGAAGGAGCTTAGTCCCTGCAGGAACTTGTTTTTTCACCTCCCTGGGGGGTGTCAGCAGGACCTCAGGAACAGAAATGGGAAGTGAGGCCCTGAGGAGCGGAGGATGCTCCGACGGTCCCTGCTTGCAGCACATCAGCCACGTTGTCCCCGGTGCCGAACCGGGCCGCGATGCTTTCCCTGGGCGGGGGGGCTGGCGGGGGCAGAGCTGCTGGAAATTGCTTTGCTCTCCCACGAGGTGTTGTTCCTCAGCAAGACAATGGCGTGGCAAAATAGAAAATGTTACCTATTATAGTCATATTATGTGCTCAGGAGGCAAGCTGCCTTGCCAGAGTTCGCTTAATGGTGCGACAGAGAAATACTGAACGTAGTTAACCGGCAGGCAAAGCTAATTTATTCACATATTTTTATTAAGCAGGACTAATTTACAAACCTCGTTATTTGCTAAAGGGATTTTTCCTCCCTCAGAGCCCCTCCATACTCCCACCCTCACTTCTGCTCATTGCAGCTCTCCTTGCCTTCGCTTTTGCGCAGCAGCACGCGCCGTCCCGCAGGCAGGAGGAAGCGGGCAGGGAGCCTTTGCTTCCAGCCGCGAGCCCCCGGCGCCGTGCCCGGAGCCCACGGGGCACGTCCCGCGTGCCCAGCTCCTCCGCGGGGGAAATCCCCGCTGCTCAGCGCCGCTCCTACCCGGCACAGCGGGGGTCTTCACTGTCGCTAACCGCGTTCTGCGGGGGAGGATTTCATCACAGCTGGCTTGGAGATTTTGAAATCTGTGAAGTTGAAAGTTCGGGGTCAGACATGTGTGTGCAATGAGGCTGAGGCAGGGCCGGGGTGCTCGGAGGGGCTGGGGAGCATTTGGCGGTGGGTGCCAAACTTCCTTGCTGTTGTCAATCAGTGCCACCGCCAGCTTGCATCTTTGTTGATGCCAGCCTTGACCCTGCTGTCTGCTCCAGCTGCCACCAGTGGAAACGCTGCCGTTCATTTTGGGGGAGCCGGAGCAGCCCGCTGTATCGCAGTTGCCCTTCCCTGCTGTTTGCCGTTAGGGAGCTGGATGCTGCAGCAACCCACCAAGGACACGGGAACCGGAGGGGTTTCTGGAGGGCTAAGGGGACCTGCAACTGCAGCTGGCAGCTCGCCCCGGCGCTCCCATCGGAGTGCGGCTTCTTGCTGGGGGCAAGGTCCTTTAGTTTGGTCTTGTCACGGGGGTGACCCTGTCCGGAGTCATTTCCCCACCGGCTCGCCCTGAGGCCATTTCTCCCAGGCGTTACCAGCACATGCTGCCTGCGGAGCTGTCTGCTTGGCGGGGCACACAGGGGTGACCCGGCAGCGCTGTATGTCTGTTTTCTTCCCTGCACTTGTTGAGGTTTGAGACTTCTTAATTACCTAGACGAAAGTGTTAATTACACGAAAGAGAGGCCCATGGGTTACTCTTTCCTCCGCTAGTGCAATAAGCCCAGGGAATAGAAAGACCCTCACATATGGGACAGGATCTACCCTGAAGCTCCTGATGCTCTTGGGGTTTTGTGGTGTATTTTTGTGGATTTTTCATGGATAAAATATACGCTAAGTT